AGATAACTTAAAATAAAAATAAGAAATAAAATATGTTTGTATTATTTTTTTAGTTATTTTAGATAATAATATATTTATGTTTATTTATATACAAAACTAAATGAAACAAAATAAATGTAAAAAAAAAATGCAAAAAAATGTGGGAAAATATTTTTAATGTTTATTTATGTTTAGATGAAAATATAAAAACAAAATCAAAAGGAAAAAATCAAAAATATCAAAGATATCTCAAAATGGGCCAGGGGGGTGCATGTGAAATGCAATGGTGTGAAAAGTAAAACAACTCAGGCCCAGCCCATGAAAAGGTTGTCTTCAACCTTCAGACAAAATATTTGAAAAAAACGCGACTTCTCTTGCTTCAAACACAACTCCTGATTCCTGGACTTTTAGCACAAACTCATAACATGAAAGATGTCAAGCATCAAGCCACGATTCCATACATATAAAAAACACAACTTAACTCTCAGAAATGAGAGAGAATTTCTCCATCCCTAATTCTTAACCTAAGTTTTTGTCAATGTTCAGGTCTCAAATTCTCCCAGCACATGCAATATAAATGGAAAGTAAAGATATGTATAGCTTCAGGGGCATGAGTGGAACATTTTTCATTCACAAACTTAGAGCTAACTCTTCCTATATTGAGAGATAGAAGTTCATGAACTTACCTGTTCAGCTTGGATCGTGTCTGACAATGGAGGCACTTTCAAGGCAAAGTGAGGATTGGTACAGCTTGCTTGAGGTCCAGGGATGCTATTCCAACCTCTAACTTGCTTTGAAACCAAGTGAATCAAGCTATGGCAATCAACCTGCAAAACAGAAAAAATGAAAATGGTGATGTTGGTTAGAGGTGTTACAGGTCGTGCCCAATGCTTGGGATAGCTTGTATATGTGGTATGGAATGTGTATGAACTGGATTTAGCAAGAATGCACGAATGGATTGGCTTATGGAAGTCCAACTGCAAAGGTCACTCTATTTTCTGCAGTGGGAGGGTGTTTTGAGGTTTGATGATGTTTGGAGAGTGTTTTGCTCGTGCCTTAGCTCTGGTATATTGTTTGGAAGGTGTACAACAACTTTGCTTAAGCTTGTGTTGGCTGAAATGTGAGTTGGTGTAAGTTATGCCAAGTTACTTCTAACTTAAGCAAGAAATGGAAAGTTGGTTTCTAGGCCAGTACAATGCCTCTATCTATGCTGCACCTTTGAGTCTTGATTAGTGGGATATGCCTATGCCTTTGTGCCTCAAAGATCTGCATTGTACCTCATAGATTGCAAAGTTGACATAAAGTAACACTTTACAAAAATGGATAATATGCTTTTTCTTATTAAGGCTTAATCCTGTATACAATGCTTAAACAAACAAGATAAGACTTAAACATGCAGGATTGGCATTAAATTTATGAGTGTGAATGAGATAAAGGACCTGCAATCTAGCTTAGAGCATGCTGAATTCAAAAATGCAAAGTTATGAACATGTAAATTGGCCATGAACAAAGTGAGTTTTGCCCATATTGCCAAATTCGATTCTCCCTAACCACAAGGTAGTTTGATGAGTTCTTGGACATTTTGGAAAGCTTGGAATGTGTACTATAATCCATCTTTATAATTCAAATTGAAATTCCAAGTGGAAGCATGTGAAAAGTTGTCATGAAGTTAGGCAAAATCTTGCCTAGAATAGGTCAAAATTTTTCTAAGTTAAGAATGTTTTGCACCCTTGTTCCAAAAATCATAACTTGAGCTACAAGCTTCTTTTGAGGAAACTTTGTGAATCAAAGTTGTAGATTTTGAAATAGACTACAACTTTCATATTTTGACTTTTCCTTGAATCCAAATGCATCTTGATAAAAAAATGGGACAAAGTTGGGAAAAAATTAGGAATTTTTATAACTTAGAAAATTTCTAAGTTATGAAAATTCTTCATTTTAAACCCTAATTTGCAATTTTGATTTCTTGGTGAACAAGTTTCATAATTTGACATGTTTTGATGAAAAATGAATCTTGACACTTGATTTTGACCAAAAAGTCAAAGTTTAACTTTTCAGTATACAGTCAAAAATTGATCAATTGACTGGAAAATTCATCTGTCAATCTTGTGCATTTGGGATCTTTTGAACTTGTTGAACATGTCAAGACAATTCCATTGGGTCCTTGAGTCCATATGTGAGCTTGGTTTGCCATTGGTTAGGTCAAACAGTCAAAAATTGCCTTTGTGCAGTCAAAACCCTAAAAATGACCATTTTGCCCTTTTGGTGATCTGATCAAATTTCTTGTGGAATTGTGATCCAAACTTGATCAAATGGTCCATATGAGTTCATAATGTTGATGTGGGTCAAAAATCATGAGGTTTGACTGTCAACTGGCCATAGTTGACCTTTTACCCAATACAGCTGATTTCTAGGTCAACTGTCCAATTGACTGGGCAAAGATTGGAATCAAGGCTTGAAATTTGGTATGGGTAAACTTGGGAGTCCAATATGAAGCATGAAAGTCATCTTAGGAATTTTAGGTCAAAACATATTTGTGCAAACACAAACCCTAATTTGGGTCAACAGTGCAAGGAGAAGTCTTGAGCAGAGGAAACCCTAACTGGATCTTGAGCTCCAAGGGTCTTGTGGTGAGAAAATGTTGAGGAAATGGGAGGGCAAATTTTGGGGTACAACACTTACCGTCTTTCTCTCTATGTACCAGAATGACGTTAGCAACCCACTATAGATAGGAGGTGACAGCTAAGAACCCTGCATTGAACTGCTTCATGACCTCTGCCTTGATCTTCTCTGACATTTTAGGGCGCATACGACGGACCTTCTGTTTAACCGGAGGACAGTCTTCTTTGGTTGGCAGACGATGAACCATAATATCAGTGTCTAAACCAGGTGTAGCGGTGAAAATCGGAGATCGAGCTATTAATTAACTCGATTCTCAAAAGCAAGAGTCACCATCGCGCTTTATTATTTCCAAGGGAAAAGGGAAAAGAGCGAAATAAAACCCTTAAATATGCAATGTAAAGTAATACTTAAAAGTAATGAAATATATAATTCGTTTTTGAAAGAGATCGAGAGTTCGGGGGTTGGTTATGCAATGGGAAGGTATTAGCATCCAATGCATTTGCGGTACTCCGCAGGAACCTTTCGAAATATCTGTTTTTGGTTAAAAATTGTTTGTTTGGTCAAAATGGGTGTGGACGAGATTTTGAAGATACGACGACCTAGTGTCGAAGTTTTGGCTTAAAAAGGTGTGTGAGTTTTAAAATTAGGGTTTTAGAAGAGATTTGTTTTTATATTAATAAAACAAAAAAATATACAAAGGGGTTTTCGCACAATTGTATTAAATATATTCGATGACATGAAGTCAATGAATTCGACTTTTCTCTTGGAGTTAGACAAACAAAATATAAAGACTAAATGATCGAAAATGGAAAATAACAATTTAAATAATTAAATAATTAACAACAAAAATTAATAAAAATAAATGAAAGACAAAATTAAACTAATATATTTTTATGGTATTTTTTATGGCATTTTTTATGAGGCGAAGAAAAAACTAAATATAAACATATTCTAATATTTTTTGTATTTTTGTATAGTTTAATAATAATAATAATAATAATAATAATAATAATAATAATAATAATAATAAATATCCTAAAAAAAATAAAATAACTAAAATAAAATTAAATCATAAGAAACTAAGTTGGTTAGTTACATAGAAAATATTAAATAAAAAAAGAGTTAATTATTAGTATAAGGCATTAGACAAAGATAATAAATCTTATATATAAAAAAAAAAAGATAAATGATAACATAACATAAAAGAGTAGTAACAAAAAAAATAGAAATTTGAAAATAAAATAAAATAAAAATAGGGTGGAGACACGTGGGATGTGGAACCACCCCTTATTTATAACCTGATATCTTTTGTTTTATATTAAAAATTAAACTAACAAAAATGTGGGGAAAAAAATAGTATATTTGACTTTTTCAAACTTAAAAAAAAGAGGAAAGGTTAGCAAATGATGCACCAGGGCGGTGCCTGATATCTCTGTGAAGAGATTTTCTTGAATTTTCAAGCCATATAATGGTCATCCATTATGCGACACGTGGCAGTGATTTAACATAAAAAATAAAAATAATGAAAATGATGAAGCATCTATATAAAATACCTATGAGTATTACTAAAAACGCAAAAGGGACAACAAGTTTACTTCCCTGGTTTTCACTTTAGTTTCTAATAATCACATTCAAATGTATCAACAAGTTGCACACTCCAGTTTCAACAAGTATATTTATATCAAACTGGAAAATTATAACCAAAAAAAATGAAAGAATAACTTACAATCGGAAACACGTCGACTTCTCTAAGGGCACCGACGATGGTTCGACTGGGAGGAGCTACAATTTTCGATCTAAGGGGTGCTTCACGGGTGGTTTCCGGAGTAGATCGAGGCGGATCAAAGCGAGCATGGGTGAGAGTGTCGCTGACGTTGCGTGTTTGTCGGTTGCTAACAATTGTAGCTCTGGCATGATTTCGACGACGACGGTGTTGCAAGCAAGGTGATAATGGTATCAGTGGAGTTGTGAGTATATGTACAGAGATTTTAAGGTGATTTCTTTTCTACTGAATTTCTCTTTGTTTTCTCTTGAATTTCTTCTATGTTGAGTGAAGTATTTGGATGACAAACTTTTATTTGGTGTAAGCAAAAATATTTAGAGTTCCAAAATTTTGTCTTGTTTCTGTGTGTTTTTGAACTGGTTTGGAGGTATATTTTTCTATGATAACTTCTCTCCTCTAATTTTCTCTGTGTTGCAGGTGAATATTTTGAGAAGGTTTGAACTGTATGGAGGTCGTGGAGAGGGAGGATTGAAGGTGGTTTTTTCGTGTATTTGGGAAGAGAGTTTGAATAGGGATTTCTTCTAATTTTTGCTGTGTATTTTTCTTGTGTAATATCTCCTCCTCCTCCTTTACTATTGTTTTTCTTCCTCCAATTTATAGTACATCAGAGGTGAAATTAGAGGGGAGATTTTGATCCATTTGAATAGTTAGAGTGCTCTGTTGTAATGCTTTCTAGCGCAGGTTTTTGCTTTGCTAAGTTAGTGTAATTCTTGGACAGTTGTTGTTGTAGTATCATGCAGGTTTTGGAACTTATTGTTTGGACTATTTGTGACAGCAAATGTGCAGTCTTTTGACAGCATTGCAGCAGGGGCAGCAGCATGACTATTGTGCAGCAAAACTTGGATAAGGACATAAGAGTTTTGGTGCAAAATTGTGCAAGGATTTGGATCAAGGCAAATTTGGACAGCAAGTTTGAGGCATGAAGTTTATAAGGCATTAGAAGTAGCTCAAGTCTTGTTTTTCTTGTAACTCCTTTGTAATTTTCCTTGTAATAAATGATGTTTGAATTTTTGGTGTAAACCTTTGATGAATCTCATAATTTCTCTTGAAAATAACCTTGGATGGAATTTGAAATGTCACTTAAGATTATGTCTTGTATGAAGAATGAACCAAATGGGCTTGAATAGGTCATGAATGATGATGGTTGAATCTTTGAATGATTTTGAAGTCTCTTGAATGATTCTTGAATACAACTCATTTTTGATAAAAAATGTTGTTAACTTTGAATCATGAGTGAAAAAATATTTATCTTTTGTTGGCTTGTATGAATCTTGAATGATATTGGAAAGGAGTCTTGATCCATTCTTGAATAATCTTGAAATTATGCACCAAATTTAACCTTGTATTTGGATGAATGGATTATGGCACATGCCTTGCAATCTTAAATTAATTATGATACATGCCTCAATTTTATTCCCATGAATAAAGTTTTGAATTGAAAGTGGACAATTGAATCATGGCTAAAAGGATGAGTGTCTTTGAAACTTTGAATTAAATTGAATTTAATGGCATCTCGCGAGTTAATATCCAAATCATTTCTAATGAGACCCTAATTCAAATCTCCGATTCATGGTAATTTGCAATACATGCCAACAGTATAAATTGTGCCTTTAAGAAATTTAATCAATAACCCACCTTAATCCAACGATCGTTAATGTTCAATTGCAAATGACTTAAAGTAGGCAACAAGCGATCAAAGAATTATTGAACTAAAACTCTAGTTTCATGAATTATCCCAACATAAGAATCAAATGTCCCTTAAGAAAACGTCAGTGGCATGAACTGAACCTCGATCTTTGAAGTAATCTCATAGACAACGCTATTTGTGATAATTCGCAAAAGATACGCCTTAGGACGTTGAAAATTGAAGAAGTTGTGACTGTTTGAACTTGAACTTGCAAGAGTTAACTTTTGGTCTAAATGCTTTGAATCGACTTGCAAACTTGATATTTCTTTGCATTCCAAAGCATCTTGATGCACATGTAAACCAGTGATGATGAAATCTTGACTGTGCTTTGGAGAATTTTTGGAGAAGCTTGAGACCACTTGTCGAACAAGGCGTGGAAATAAACACACGATTCCCCTGATGAATCAGTCTTCAAGAATCAATGATCAACTATACTTCTGGCTTGAGATTCCGAACCCTAATCGAGGCATGACGCCTGATGCTCTTGATTCAGAACTGTTTCCTGCAAATGAAATCAAAGAAACAAAAAACACACACTTCGTGCTTGATTAGAAGTTAGTGATACATATGCTAAGAATGTTCAAAATACTTGACAATTTCTTCATAGTCAATGCTCGAAAGTGAGAGGTTAAAACCGACCGTATTTCATGACCTTGACTTCTGTATAAGAATGAAAAAATAAAAATGGAATCTTAGGTAAAAAATTGGGGTATGACACCAGGCATGTCTTCATATGACCAGGCGAAGATCTCAACGTAGTCGTACAACATTTGTATCAACTGCTGTTTGATCTTAACTTCCAAATTTGCACCGATCTTGACTTTTTTTCTGTCTATCTCCGTGCCCAGGTTTATCGTCTCAACTGGCTCTTCATGAGGCTGTATATCCCTTTCTTCCTGTTGTAATAGTCTAGCAAGTTCTCCAGGCACCTCACAATCATCCTCACCTTCGTCTTCGGCTTGGTTGATCGGATTTTCAAAGTCATAACAGACAGTAGCAGAGCCGTTATCAATGGGATCCAGAGTGGATATGGATCTGCAGTATGATACATGAGTGTGTGTAAGAGCATAGCTGTTTTGATAAAGTGAAAACAGAAAATAAAAACAGAGAGGGCAAAATTTGTGTGCAAAGAACGTCCAATGTTTTATTGATGATATATGAAATGACAAATAATGGCCCTCACAAACAAAGACAATGTGCCTCGGGCAAGGCACAAGGCTATAGAGTTTAAATTGTTTATTACAAAATCCCAAAACAAGTAAGACAATTACTGCGGAATAAAAGAAACTGGTATAAAGTCCCTAGCCGTCCAGTTACTAGGTCCACCGTTGGTAGTTGGGTAGATCCAGCTGTCAATGTTTGAGTTTTCCTCGATGTCTTCAATGGCATTAATTCCCCGATTGCTGATGTGTAGGGGAAGATCTCCAGCTCGAGCGCATCGAACAACCTTTTGAGCTCCTTAAGTAAAGCCCAAACCAAACTTGTCATTTTTATGAGTAAAATCGAGGAGCTGTCCCCAGTTGGTACACCCACCTTCTTCAACCACGGCTCTGACATCTTTGAGAGAAGCCATCTTCAGAGGAGGTTTGTTGCAGGTAGTAGTTTCAGTCGATGCCAAGATCTGGGGGACCTCTTCGATGTTCTGGTAAGGCGTCTCTATGAATTCCCCGTCCATCTCTATGTATCTGAAGGAGTTGAGGTGGCTTACCATATACCCCTCTTCACCATGCACAGTGACAATCTTCCCTTTTACCGGATACTTCAGCATTTGGTGCAGTGTAGAAGTAACTGCCCCAACTTCATGGATCCAAGGACGACCCAACAAACAAGAGTATGACGGCCGGATGTCCATTACATATAAAGTGGACTCAAAAGTCTGGGAACCTACTTTGACGGGGATGTCCACTTCCCCATGCACCACTCTCTTCGACCCATCAAAAGCCCTCACCACAATGTTAATAGGCTTTAAGGTCAAGCCCTTACAGTCCAACCGATCCAATGCCTTCTTAGGCAGAACATTCAGCGAAGACCCAGTATCTACCAGTACATGAGCCATAATGGTGCCCCTGCATTCAATCGAGACATGCAGAGCATCATTATGCTTCCTCCCTTTCAGTGTCATGTCTACATCTGAAAAACCCAGCCCATTGTCAGCAGTCAGGCTGGCCACACAATCTTTGAATTGATCAGCTGAGGTCTCCTGCGGCACATGCGTAGTCTTGAGGAATGCAATCAAAGCCTTAGCATGGGCCTTGGAGCATAACAACAGGGACGACATGGATATCTTTGAGGGGGTCTGCCCCAGCTGCTCGACCACATTGTAGTCGCTCTTTTTGATTATTTTCAGTATTTCCTCTATCTCTTGCTTAGAGGTTTCCACGACAATTTTTCTAGCTGCCTCCGTCTGGGCAGGCTCACCTATAACTTCTTTGCCTCTGGTCCCAGATGACTCGATGGCGGGAGTGATAATTGGAGTAAGCACATGAGTAATAGTTGATGTACCAGTAGGAGTAGCAGACAGAATAATAATAGGCCTATTGACAGTCTTTCGGGAAATCTCGGGAGAGAAAACCCTTCCACTTCTGGTGACCTTGTTGGTCCCGACAATGTTACTGACATCATGATCAGCCTCTTCATTATTTAGATCTTGTTTGATGCCATGATAGTATACATCGACACCATAATGCCAGGGGACAACTTTGTTCGAGGCATACGGGACAGGACCAGGAAAGGTGATTATTAGCGGAGCGACTCTTGGAGCAGATGTAATCCTAACAAGTCTTCTCGAGGAGACCTTGGAAGGATTGGCGGAAATGGTTATAATAGCAACATATTCAAATGGAACAATGGGAATCAAAGTTTTCTCCAACAAAATTTCTTTGCTGTCCATCAGGCGTTGAACACCTAACTTCAGCAAATGGCAACCAGAAGGAAGAAATGAACACATATGGCAACCTTCACCACAACTCAAAAATAAACCGGCCAACAACAAATTCTTCTTAACCGTCATAAGAGGAGTAGAAACTTCATCCACTAAGGTCACAAACAGATCGGTATCAACAACGTTAACTCCATGACCGTGCTTAGGCATGAGAGCAGTTATGACATTGGGCTTTTCCAGAGCATCGAACTTAATCTCCTTGGCTTTGATCAGATCCTGTACCTTATTTCTCAGAGCCCAGCAGTCATTGGTATCGTGGCCAGGACTCTCAGAATGATAGGCACACCGAGCATTTGGGTTATATCGGGGAGATGTGGTGTTCGGATTCTTGGGAGCCTCTTTCAAGGTCGCCAAGTTGGATCTTAGCAGATGGGGTAGAACTTCATCCAACGCCATGTTGATCCGGGTAAACTGTCGTTGTGGTCTTTCCGCCCTTTTTTGATTGTTGTGTTGTGGAGAAACTACAGGCCTAGGTATCATTACGACACTTACTGTCTGACGATGTTCAGCTCTGCTCTGGCCTCTCAGACTATAGATGGAATTGGCTTCCTTCTTACCAGTAAAAGGCTTCTTTACCGAACTCGAAGAGGCATCCTTCTGTATTTTACCGCTCCGAATCCCAGATTCTACTCTCTCTCCAGTTAGAATCAGCTCGGTGAAACCAGCTGACGAGCTGCCGATCAAATGATTAAAGAATGGAACATATAGCGTCCCCAGAAACATATCGACCAACTCCCTATCAGACAACAGGGGTTGGACTCTTCCAGACAAATCTCTCCACTTCTGTGCATAGTCCTTAAAGCCTTCACTTGCACCCATGGACATACTCTGGAGTTGAGTATGAGTAGGAGCAAGGTCGGTGTTGTATTGATACTTCCTATAAAAAGCAGCAGCCAGATCTTCCCAGTTTCGAATATTGGCTCTCTCTAGTTGGTAGAACCATTCAAGTTGAGTCCCTGACAGACTTTCTTGAAAGAAGTGAACCCACAAATTTCTATCAGCGGTGTGGGGATGGATCTTTCTGACGTAGGAACGAAGATGGAGTTTTGGGAAAGACACCCCATCGTACTTAGCAAAAATTGGAGCCTTGAACTTCTGTGGGATGACCACTCCCGACACCAATCCCAATTCTTCGAAATCCAACCCAGGTATCCTCTGGACTTCCATAGCATTCAAACAATCTTCCAACTGCTTGTATCTATCCTCAGTGGGAGGATACTTCTCATCATTGTAATATGTGTCATTGTCAGAAACTTTAGGACTGGGGTCCTTTTCCCTTGTCTCTTCTTCTTGATTCTCCCCTTCTTTG